GAACATGAACTGGATTCAAAATAGAAAAATAAATACTGGAAGGAGTCAGCAATTAACAAAATTACATGTTCAAAAACATTGTTTAGCAATGTTACAATTTACATTTTATATGTAAATAAAGGCATGCTTAAATTGTCATGAATATGACTCCGAACTGTGTGTATTGAACTGAATAATTTCCACAATGTGTGTTATGTACGAAATCAACAGTATACAGTACTTCATACAGTGACCACAAATATATACACACATGCACACCGGCAAGCACACACAGAGCATAGAATTAAGTCAGAACTAAAACTAAAGATGGAAGTGATGCCATATTGCCATATTTTCTTTCTAGTTCACATTATTGGTATTATACATGTATGTGTCTGTTTTGGCAAAAACCTACAACATCTTCAGAAATAACAAAAATCTATAAAAAGTTATTAGAATGGAATACTGAATTGAATGAAGAAAAAAATATATGAAAAGATGGAAAGAAAATATTGGAAGGACCATAGGAAAAGATGAATGGGAAGAAAATTGGAAGCAGAAACTCGAACACTTACACAATAGAATTAAAGGAAAATTGGATTAAGATGTCACATAGGTGGTACATGACTCCACAGAAATTAGAGAAATGTTATAAAAATATAAATATAAATATGTTGGAAATGCGGAAAATTGGAAGGCTCATTCTTTCATATGTGATGGCATTGTGAAAAGGCAATAATATATTGGAAATTTTTTAAAATCATATTACAAAAGATACTAGATATAAAAATCCCTATGAACTGGGACTGACAGCTCCCTGTCTGGACTCTCCTTAAGGTACCATGGTTTTAACCCCACTTATTTGTCCCAAATTATGAGGCTGTCAGGAAGCGCCCTTAAGGTACAAAACTTACATTGAGCAGTGGCTAGGTTGATAGAGGTTTTTGGGTCTATGTTTTGACTAAAATGCATAGACTTATATATGAGAATATACAGTAAGGGCCCCCAGGTGGCACAGCGGGTTAAACTGATGAGCTGCTGAACTTGCTTACTAAAAGGTTGGCGGTTCAAATCCAGGGAATGGGGTGAGCTCCTGCTGTTAGGGCCAGCTTCTGCCAACCTAGCAGTTCGAAAACATGAAAATCAATAGGTATCACTTCTGCGGGAAGGTAATGGCACTCCATGCAGTCATGCTGGCCACATGAGCTAGGAGGTGTCTACAGACAACACCGGCTCTTTGGCTTAGAAGTGGAGATGAACACCACTCCCCAGAGTCAGAGGACACCTTGACCTTTTATACAGTATATGGCTCTAAAAGAAAATATAATATGCTCAACAGATGGATGCGGTTTTCTTCAGAGAAGCCCAGGTGCAATTTGTAATAATATCTACTTTAATATATAATAAATTTGTTTATTTCTATGGAAACTTAGGCACTGATTCATGCTAGATAAAGTCATAATGGTTGAGCTACATGTTGCGGTTCTTATTCGTGACAACACTGTCATTTTCAGGATTGCAGTAAGATAGAACTATGAAAACATGCTACACGGGTTTGTGTGATACAGAAAAACACCATACAGAAGCACCTGTATATGTGAATACATGTAGATTCCCAAGCCGGAAATCCCATTTCAAAGTGTTTAACAGAATCAGTCACAGTGTCCATAATCATAGCACTAGTTGAAGGCATTATTCAATATGAAAATCCATGGACAACACAAAACTAAAATGCCAAACAGACTTTAAGCTTAAATGGAAAAACACAGGTGGGGAAAGTAATCTAATCTATGACAGGAATATGCCAGCTGCTTCTCTTGGGCCACTATTCACAAGCATCTTTCATTGACAAGTAGATATATCTCAGCAATTAAAGCAAAATAAGTGAAATCAAGGTGTTTTTTTTTTTCCAAACACAACAAATAGCTAGCAATCTGGACCCTGCAGGAGCTCGGTAATGTATTTTAATTCAAAAAGCATTTGCATAATTAAACTTTCCCCCTTGAACTGGGAATACTTGGTAAATAAATTCAACATTTCATCTTGGTCTGAAAAATTAGAGAATGTCTGTTTGCCACAATAAATTAATTTAACTAAAACCATAAAACAGGAAGAAATGCAACTCAAAAGTAATATGAGAATTAAAATGGTTAAGAATTGGCACAATATCAGTACAAACTGTTTTAAAAGAGTGGTCCTTCCTCTTTGGATAACAGCTCTTTTGCTGAAATTGATCAGTTTAATAAGGTATATTAAGATGTCACAAATTATTCAGTTAAGATAATTGATAATAGATCAAGCCCCATGAGGAGCAACTTAAAGAGCTGGGCATATTTAGCTTGAAGAAGAGAAGGCTGAGAGGAGACATGATAACCATGTATAAATATGTGAGAGGAAGTCACAGGGAGGAAGCTTGTTTTCTGCTGCCCTGGAGACTAGGACAAGGAACAATGGCTTCAAACTACAAGAAAGGAGATTCCATCTGAACATTAGGAAGAACTTCCTGACTGTGAGAGCCGTTCAGTAGTGGAACTCCTGCCCTGGAGTGTGGTGGAGGCTCCTTCTTTGGAAGCTTTTAAACAGAGGCTGGATGGCCATCTGTCAGGAGTGCTTTGAATGCAATGTTCCTGCTTCTTGGCAGGGGGTTGGACTGGATGGCCCATGAGGTCTCTTCCAACTCTGTGATTCTATGATTTGTAGAATGATAAGTACTGAGTTAGCAAGATCAGAGAAAAAGGAACAAGCAATGCACTTTTGTTCTAAAACATGTTTAGAATAATTACTATAGGAATTAATGGAGTTGCACAATAAAACAGCCTTTGAAGTAGCAAAGGAAGGTACTGTCCTCACTATGTTCTTAAATGTAAGTGATAGAAGGCAAAAGAAGAGACAGTTGGTGCCCTACTCTGCATAGATGCAGCACTGCCTGGTGAGATGCTCTGATATTAGCTGTAGAATAGAATAACTTTTTTGTCATTGTACAATGAAATTACATGCCACCCCCAATCACATTATATATGTAGAATTACAAAACAAAACACTAATCCTTCCACATTCTAATCACTATTGCACAACTCCTAATGCCACATCAGTGTGAAACCATAGAGTTCAATGGATGAAAGCGATCGCTCAGCCTATTTGTCCTTGTTTTTATCATCCTATACCATCTGCTGGATGGTAATAGTTAAACAAAAAAAAAGAATATCCATGGTAAGATGAATCCCTAAGAATATTTGAAGCTTCCTTAAGGCAGCAGGAATTATAAAGTTCTTCCAGAGAGAGGGGAGGGCAACCAATAATTTTCTGGGCAGTAATGGTAACCCTCTGGAGTGCTTTCCGATCTGCCACTGTGCAATGAGCAAACTATAGGCAGATACAATAGGTAAGAACATTCTATAACACAGCAGTAGAAAGTCGCCAGCTGTTTTTCATTCAATAGTTGGCTCCTTAAAAATCTCTGGGCCCTTCCAGACAGGCCCAATAGCCCAGGATCTGATCCCAGGTTTTTTATTTAGTCCAGATTATCTGGCAGTGCGGGCTCATATAATGTAGTTTAAAGCAAACAACCTGGGATCAGATCCTGGGATATAGGATCTGGAAGGACCCTCAGATAATACAATCTCTTAACCAATGTCACAGTATGAACACCTCAGGTCAGGTCCTCCTTAACAATGACACCAAGGAACATAAAATTGGCCACCCACTCCACTCCATCTCCAAAGGCTGAATTTTTGATCTATTCCTTCTGTAATCTACTATAAGATCCTTGGTCTCTTCAATGTTAAGAACCAAATTATTGTCCCTGCACCACGACAGCAGCTGATCCACCTCATTCTGGTAGGCAGACGCATCCTCTTCAGAAATAAGCCCCACCACTGTTGTGTTATTTGTGAATTTGGTAATGATGTTACTGTGGTAATAGGGGGTGCAATATTATATGTAAAGAGTATAAAGTAGAAGACTCAACTTTCTCATATTAGTGCTGAGAATAAGAGCTGAAGAGATAATCCAAAAACAGATTGAATAGGGAAGTTCAAGATCCATATGTTTAGACTTATGTGGAAGGATTACGTTAAACATGGCACCAAAGTCTGCAAAAAGCATCCTCACATAGTTTCCCATTTGTTCCAGATGAGTTAAAGCAGTGTGGAGAATAATGGCTCCATAGATCTGTTAGTTCGATATGCAAACTGATGTTTACCAAATGTATATGGAAGGCAACAAATAATCTGCCAACAGACCATTTTTTCAAGGCACTTCATGAAAATGGAAGTGAGTGCCACTGCAGTCCTGAAAATTATCAATAGGGAACTTCTTTGGTAACGGAATAATGATGGAAGCCTTCAAACAAGATAGAATGATGGACTGAGATAAAGACTGATTAGAAATCACAGTAAAAACACCATAAACATCATACATAAATGATACTCAACCTTCCTCTTATAATTCACCTTGGCTTGCCAAATGCTACTCTTGAGACTAGCTCTAGTGCACACTAGAGGCACTCTAGTCACCAATCACAAGTTTGCTCGGTGCTGAGTAAAGCACTTCTTGTCTCTAGCTAGATGGGTTTTGCTGACACTCACAGATAAGAATCAGCATTCCCTTTCCCCGTTGCTCACACTACATCAATGAGCAGTGCTTCACATTAATGAACTACATCATTAGCTGCTGCCTCATCACTCTAATATTAAGCAATTTTTACTAATTTGAAAAGGCTATTCTGTGGAGAAGTGGGAAGATGGATAGACAGATACACTCAGCATGAAAGTGGAAGTAACTGAGACATGTTCTATCACACACACACATAATTATATTCTATTAGTCACCCTTTGAATAAAAAGATGGGTTAATCTGGGCAGAAGTTCATTACTTTCTCCTTTTCACATACAAACTCATCATAGCTTCCATTAAACTGTTGTTTTAATGATACTACCCAGGTTTGCTCGTGGTCTAGACAAATTAATGACATACCACTTAAAGGCAATCTAAACTACATCTAGATAAACTTTAATACTTACCCCTGGAGTGCTTTTTCCCCAAACCAATCTCCTTTTCCTAAAGTTCGAAGGAAGATTGGATCTTCTCCAGGCAAATCTTCACGAGTAACATTTACCTGATTAGATGTTTGGAGAGGGGACAAAAAAAAAAACAGTGATGAAAATGCTATATTTATACCACCTATTTCCACTTTCCCCCGTTTTTATTGTTGTAAAAAATCTACTAATAAAAAGTATTTAAAAAAAGAAAAGAAAATGCTGTATTGTGATCGCCTTGCAAAGGTGCAACATTTAGATGAAATGTTTTCCTTTCAAAATTCAGCTCAGTAATGAAGTTTGAGTATTTAGGGGAAAGGCACCATTAAATTATTAATTGAATATCCTTTATCCAAACTGCTTGAGGCTAGAAGCATTTCGGATTGCGTATTTTTCTGGATTTTTGAACATTTGCATATTCATAACCAGATATCTTGGAGTCAAAACCCAAACTTCATTTGGGTTTATTGTCAAAGGCATTCATGGCCAGAATCACTGGGTTGTTATAGGTTTTTTTTGGGTTATTTTTATTTTTAATTTTTATATCAGTTAAAAACTGCTTAACATATATGTTGGCTAAAAACATAGGTAAAAGACTACAAGTGCCAGCATGTTTCATTCTGTGTATAAAATTGGGAATTGTCTAATTGTCTAATCCTGGCTGTCTCAGAAAGAAACTTGGCAACTGCCAAATTACGTGGGGAAGGTTGTCACCAAGTAGAAACTTCTCATAAAATTTCACTGAACTAGCTGGTAAGTTTCTTAGTAGGGGGTTGATTATGTGTGCTCGGGCCTGTTCATAGAAACTGCCATACTCCAGATCACGAACATCTCTCACTTGAAACATCATACCAGCTTGGTAAAATCGGCAAGAAGTTTATTGTAGAATATATGTTGGCAAAGCAGTAAAAAAAAAAAGTAAAACAGTAACAATCCCAAAATCCAAGAAAATCCATGAACTTTAAAAGTAAACTAGGTACATAGAAATCCATGAAGCCAAGAAGCCAAAAAACATGAAGCAAAACAGCAGGAACTTTCAGGCAAAAAAACTTAAACTTGGCAAGGACTTGATACATGAAACATAGAGTACTTGAAAACCAAACTGGCATGAATTAACGTTGACTCGACTGAGACACTAGTCTCCCATGAATCGTTATAAACCCTTTCCAGAAGCCCAAACTGACAGGAAGGCATTCTTTCTCACTTTCCCACTAGATAATGGTTTATTATCTTTTTGTTGCAAACAAACAGAGAGCCTGAGGTTCTGAAAGTTCTGCCTCTGTTTACTAAAACTTTGATTTCTGTCCAAGGTTTCACTATCCTCCTCTCCTTCTGCACCTGGCAAAGCAATCTCATCATTTTCACTCTGTTGCTCTGAGAAAAGCAGTGAAAGGTCTTTCCCAGGAATGTGGCCTTGCTCAGGCCTCTCTTCTGAACTTAACTCTAGACCGGGCAAACCTGCATCCTCAGGTTTTTCGGCTTGTATGGCCATGTTCTAGAAGCATTCTTTCTCTTCATTTAAGTTTCACGTATACCTTTTACCCATAACCTGAATTTTATGCATGAAACAACATACGTGTACACTGATCTATGAAAAGGAAAGGTCTCACTATCTCAGTCACTAAGGTAGACCATTTTGGATCTAGGATCATTTCTGATTTTGCCCTGTTAACCGCCTTGAGTCACCTAAGGGCTGAGAAAGACAGTATACAAATAAATAAATAAATAAATAAATGGGTTTTAGACTGCTGCTGGAAAGACAACATGGAGGGGGTATTCTGGCTTCCCTAGGCAAAGAGTTCCAGAGCCACCGAGAAGGCACTCTGTCCCGTCTCCATCAACTGAGCTTGAGATGCTGGTGTGGCTGAGAAAAATGCCTGCCTCTCCTGGGCAGGTTCATTCAGGGAGATATGATCTGTCAAAAAATGAACTAAAACCAGTCGCGTTCCAAATAACTAGAAATCAGATTTTCTAATCTGCAAAAAACAATGAATTATAATTCACTTTCTTAATTACTTAACAACTAATTAACTTATTATTTTGAATTGTTGTCATTTTTTTCTTTTAGAATATTATTTTAAGAAACATGTTTTCAACCTTAATGTGTACATTTAGAATGAAATCCCACACATTTTCATGCACATTGGAATGCAATTGGCAACCTGTGCTTTCTTTCACAAAATCAACATGTTGGGATAATTTTACCTAAAAGTTAGGGTGAAACAAAATTTTGGGATTGTAACTGCTTACCAGTCAAGCTTCTCTTTCATTTAAATCCTAATGAAAAACATCAACACCAACCCATTTATAGATCCCATAATATTTCATTTGATTCTCATCCATATGACTTCAGTTGCTCTGTGTGTATGTGTCTGTGTGTGCAGGAATTACCACTATATCATTAACATAAAGACCTCAACTTTATTAACCTCTAACATGTTTGTATTACTTACATTTTAAGCCAAAGCAAATGTTCAAGACTACGGCCATTCTGTTCAGTTAGCAGTACCAGCTAATCTTTGCCCATTCTAATTTGCTTCCACATTAAGCAAATATTTAAAGCAAAGATCACATGCAGTCATTGACAAACAAAAGAACTGCACACAGATTATGGAGTTTGGAGTGAGGAAGGTTCCCATAAAAGGATAGAGATATTTGTAACCTTCCACACTTCTAGTAAAGTGCCCTATATCCCACCCAGTTGAACAAAGAATAAGAATATGGGATTTTAGTCTTCATATATTTTCTTTCCAAACTAACTTACATTCAATAAAGATAGAATTGGATTGTTGTCATTGCCATTAAGAGTAACATAAAACGGAAATAGCATTAATACAAATCAGAGCATGTAATCTAAGTAAAATGGATGGAACAATTATAAGAAACAGTGTCAATTATAGTAGAAGGAATGCTCTATTTGTCTCTTCTGTTTCTGCAGTGTTTCTCATCCTGGGGGTCGGGACCCCTGGAGGGGTCACGAGGAGGTGTCAGAGGGGTCACCAAAAACCATCAGAAAACACAGCATTTTCTGCTGGTCATGGGGGTTTTGTGTGAGAAGTTTGGCCCAATTTTATCGTTGGTGGGTTCTGAATGCTCTTTGCTTGAACTATAAATCCCAGCAACTACAACTCCCAAATGTCAATGTCTGTTTTCCACCAAACTCCACCAGTGGTATATATCTGGACATATTGAGTATTTGTGCCAAGTTTGATCCATATCAATAATTGTTTGAGTTCACAGTGCTCTCTGGATGTAGGTGAACTACAACTCCCAAACTCAAGGTCAATGCTCACCAAACCCTTCCAGTATGTTCTGTTGGTCATGGGAATTATGTGTGCCAGGTTTGGTTCAATTCTATCATTGGTGGAGTTCAGAATGCTCTTTGATTGTAGGCGAACTATGAATCCCAGCACCTACAACTCCCAAATGACAGAATCAACCCCCACCCCGCAACCCACCAGTATTCAAATTTGGTCATATTGGGTATTTGTGCCAAATTTGGTCTAGTGAATGAAACTACATCCTTCATCTCAGATATTACAATTCATAACAGTAGCAAAATTACAGTTATGAAGTTGCAATGAAAATAATGTTATAGTTGGGGGTCACTTCAACATGAGGAACTGTATTAAGGGGTCGCGGCATTAGGAAGGTTGAGAAACACTATTCTAAGGGCACATCTATGCCAACTACTTAGACTGGGCAGCATCAGCTCCATGGTGGCCAAACACTGCATGGAGCTTATCAGGGTAAGGCAGGACAAGACCACTGAACTGGGATGGAAGCTAGGTTGAACAAACTTGAATTGCAATCTTCCTAGTTAGAGACTTTCTATAGAATTTTACACCCGTGTCGGATGCTCTTATAATGAACAGGGGCAACATCTCTCACTCCAGATTGGAATTCTTCAGCAATAAATGTACTGGGATGCTGTGAGTTTTTCGGGCTGTATAGCCATCTTGCCTGACGTTTCACCCACATCTACGGAAGGCATCCTCAGAGGTTGTGAGGTCTGTTGGAAACTAGGCAAACGAGGTTTATATATCTGTGGAATGTCCAGGGTGGGAGAAAAAAATCTCTTTGTCTGCTTGAGGCAAGTGCAAATGTTGCAATTGGCCACCTTGATTAGCATTTAATGGCCTTGCAGCTTCAAAGACTGGCTGATTGCTGTCTGGGGATCCTTTGTTGGGAGGTATTAGCTGGCCCTGATTGTTTCATGTAAGGAATTCCCCTGTTGCTTGAATATATAATACTGATATTGTACTATGCTAATAATTTAATATAGTGTATGCATATATATCTTGTAAGCCGCTCCGAGTCCCCTTCAGGGTGAGAAGGGCGACATATAAATGTCATAAATAAATAAAGTCCTGATTTTAGATGGTTTTTTTAAAATACTGGTAGCCAGATTTTGTTCATTTTCATGTTTTCCTCTTTTCTGTTTAAGGAGCATCAATCCACCATTCTTTGAAGCTGCAAGGCCATTAAATGCTAATCAAGGTGGCCTATTGCAACATTCACACTTGTCTCAAGCCGACTTGCCCTGAACATTCCACAGATATATAAACTTCACTTGCCAAGTTTCCAACAGACCTCACAGCCTCTGAGGATGCCTGCCATAGATGTGGGTGAAATGTCAGGAGAGAATGCTTCTGGAACATGGCAATACAGCCTGGAAAACTCATAGCAACCCATTGATTCCAACCATGAAAGCCTTTGACAACACAACATAATTATTCCCTCCGATCAATCAAAGGCATGGCTCATCTTTCTTCCCAAAATGAAATTCAAGGCAGGTAGCTATCCCAAACCTCAAATCACTCTGCTTGGTCTCGTGAGCCTTTCAAAAGCTTTCTCTTTTAATTATTCTTACCAACATCACAGCAGGAGAAACACTGGTACAGAAGGAAAACAGATTGCTTCATCCCTTGGCTCTGATATTCTGCTACATGAAACGTTTCTATAACCTTTGGATGTTGTGGTTTTATCACAGGCAACAACCCATTCCTCTTGTCATTGCTGCCAGGTGCCAGTGCTGCTCTTGCCCTGGTAAGTGTCATTTTAGTGGAACAAGGTGGATAGGAGAAGGTTTGGCAGTGAAGAGGGCTTTTGGAGCATTTCAATGACTGAGTATACATTTTAAAAACTCGTTTCCAATTGATCTGTGTTTAAGAATGCAGGTACTCAAATCCAAGCCTAAACTCTAACAAGTTCTTCAGCATTTTTAATCTGCCAGGCTTGTGACAATACAGATTCAGCATTTATATATGATTAAGTTTTTGAAGTGCTGCAATTTAAAATAAGTTTCTAATATAATCCAAGGGAATTGGCATATATAAACAGCTTGAAAGCCCTCAATTGAATACCAAGATCTCAAATTAAGATACACAGACATCTTTTACTGTATCATATGCAAAAGGTACAAATACAGTGGGGGGGGGTATTTAATCAGATACCAATTGTACAAGTTCTCCCATTTAAAAAGATAAGAGAGGCCTGCAATTGACACCACAGGTAGACCTCAACTATGAGAGACAACATGAGAAAACACATCCAGAAAATCATATTTTCTGATTTTTAATGAATTTATTTGCAAATTATGGTGGAAAATAAGTATTTGGTCCATAACAAAAGTTCATCTCAATACTTTGTTATATATCCTTTATTGGTAATGAAAGAGGTCAAATGTTTTCTGTAAGTCCTCAAAAGGTTGGCACACACTGTTGCTAGTATGTTGGCCCATTCCTCCATGCAGATCTCAAGAGCAGTGGTGTTTTGGGGCTGTTGCTGGGCAACATGGACTTTCAACTCCCTCCAAAGGTTTTCAATAGGGTTGAGATTTGGAGACTGGCTAAGCCACTCCAGGATCTTGAAATGCTTCTTACGAAGCCACTCCGTTGCCCTAGCGGTGTGCTCGGGATCACTGTCATGCTGAAAGACCCAGCCACATTTAATCTTCAGGGAAGGAGGTTTGCACTCCAAATCTCACGATACATGGCCCCATTCATTCTTTCATGTATACAGATCAGTTGCCCTAGTCCTTTTGCAGAGAAACAGCCCCAAAGTATGATGTTGACATCACCATGCTTCACAGTATGTATGATGTTCTTTGGATGCAACTCAGCATTCTTTCTCCCCCAAACATGATGAGTTATGTTTCTGCCAAACAGTTCTACTTTGGTTTCATCTGACCATGTGACATACTCCCAATACTCTTTTGGATCATCCAAATGCTCTCTAGCAAACTTCAGTCACCCCAGGATATGTACTGGCTTAAGCAGGAGGACACGTCTGGCACTGCAGGATCTGAGTCCCTGGTGGCGTAGGGTGTTACTGATGGTAGCAGCCTTTGTTACGTTGCTCTCAGCTCTCTGCAGGTCATTCACTAGGTTCCCCCATGTGGTTCTGGGAGTTTTGCTCACCATTCTTGTGATCATTTTAACCCCCACGAGATGAGATCTTGCTTGGAGCCCCAGATCGAGGGAGATGATCAATGGTCTTGTATCTCTTCCCTTTTCTAATTATTGCTCATATAGTTGATTTCTTCACACCAAGCTGCTTGCCTATTGCAGATTCATTCTTCCCAGTCTGGTGCAGGGTGACAATTTTGTTTCTGGTGCCCTTAAACAGCTCTTTGGCCTTCACCATAGTGGAGTTTGGTGTGTGACTGCTTGAGTTTGTGGACGGGTGTCTTTTATACTGAGAACAAGTCCAAATAGGTGCCATTACTACAGGGAATGAGTGGAGGACAGAGGAGCCTCTTGAAGAAGAAGTTACAGGTCTGTGAGACCCATAAATCTTGCTTGTTTGTAGGTGACCAAATACTGTATATTCTGGTATATAAGACTACTTTATCACCCAAGAAAATCTTCTCAAAAGTCAGGGGTCGTCTTATACGCAGGGTTGTTTTATACGCGGGAGTAGTCTTATACATGGGAGTAGTCTTATACATGGGAGTCATCTTGTAGAGCGGGTGCTGAAACTTCCAATCAGACTGGAGAATCTGTGGTTGCCACATATGGTGGGGGAAGCTCAAAAATGGCAGTGACCATGTCCCTGCCGAATGCAGCGACTGTATGAAAGCATTAAGGGCGACGCTGTACAAGTATGGTAGAAGAAAATCCATTCATCAGGATTCGTGGACTTAATGTGGTCCTGATGGTGAGGGGCGCCTCACCGAGGTGTAAGTGAAGGGTGGAGCAAGCTGCAGGCTTCCGGGGCGCCTGGGGTATGGAAAAAAGAGATAGAGTGGCTCTGGGCCCAGAAAAACACAACTCTTTTACCTGTCTGGCCCACCCTTGTATCCTATTACCATACCACCTCCTCTGTCTCTCAGATCTCGCTCCTGAAGACTGCAGTGAAGCGGTGCAGGTGCACATGTGCAAGCTCTGAGAGGCAGAGAAGGAGGTACAGTAATAGGAAAATTACCATACTGAAAACAAATCTGATGCTTTTTAAATATTTATTTGGTGTGTGTTGAAAGAGGGGTAGTCTTATACGGCGAATATATCCCAAACTCTATATTTTAACTGGAAAAGTTGAGGGTCGTCTTATACGCCCAGTCGTCTTATATGCCGGAATATATGGTACTTATTTTCCACCATAATTTGCAAATAAATTAGTTAAAATCAGACAATGTGATTTTCTGGATGCATTTTCTCATGTTGTCTCTCATAGTTGAGGTCTACCTATGATGTCAATTACAGGCCTCTCTCATCTTTTTAAGTAGAAGAACTTGTACAATTGGTATCTGATTAAATACTCCCCCCCCCCCCACACACACACACACACTGTATGAGGGAATCATCCACTGGTGCCATTCTCTATGTGGAAAAATAGCATATGCACATAAGAACATGATCCTCAAGGATGGATGCAATCACTGTGCAAGTAGTGTTTATTTCAACTCTGAAAGCCTATTGCCAACACAAAGACACATGAAAGAATTAAATTTGAAATATTTCATTCCTTTTGGCATAACACTAGAAAAACCAATGGGAGGCACTGCTTCCCCATGATATGTAACTATTGCTTATGACATTTGTTTTAAACGGGGTGCCACAATAGCTTACCTTGCCTTTGCTGATTATGAAGAAAGTGTCCCCTCGAGCACCTTGCCTGATAATATATTCTCCGCTTTCATAGTGTGTCTGGAAAAAAGGACAAAGGCAAGATGAGGAGCAAAATAATCTAAATTTGTCACCCAGTTTTGCAGTTTCATAACTGCAAAACTTATACAAACTCCTTAAAGATGAATAAAGGAGCTTCTCAGAAGCTAGGATCTTATGTAATTTCAGAATCTACAGACATCAAGGGGTAAGCTGAAGAAAAAGGAACAATATCCATCTTGCCATAGCTAAATTTAATCGGACTATGTTTTACACACTGGGGAAATTTGTATAATAGGATAAGCCAGGGTATGCAATGGGACATGCTGCTCAAACCTTTCCACTTGCAGAAGTCGTGTCTAAACAAATCATTGTGTTTTGTTCCATGATTTGTTTGTCATGCCATGTAAAGAAATACAGCTAGCTTTTCTTGGCTAGTTCTTTCATAACAAATCAGGGAATTAATTCAGGATTTGTTGCTGTTTTGTTGAAATATAAAGCAACCAGACAATACCTAATTTTTTACATGACATAATGAACAAACCACAGAATGAAGCTCCATGGTTTGATGATGATGATTTTATTTGTCATACATTTTATTTGTTACCCGCCTCTCCTCACAGCTCGAGGTGGGGTACAACATAGTTAATACAACACAAATAAAATATAATAATATTAAATTGCATACACAGAACAATTACTACTGGGAGCAAGAACAACTGAACACTTTTATATCATTACAAATATTTTTTTATTTTGTTTTCAAAAACAGAGGGGGGACATTCACAACTAAACTATTAAAAGGGGGGGGGAGAAGGGAAAGATGGGAAACATAATAAAATATAGTATGTTAAGTTACAGAGCCATGATAGTTAAATAGTTTTACGCATGAGTCTATTCTATCGTTGGAGACATAGATGAGAATGTCTATCTTTATACCTATTTTTGGTATAGGGAGGAAGTGAAGTAAAAGGAAAAAAGGGTACAACTGTGACATCTTCTCTAACAAGAGTAAATATTATCCTTCAGGATCCCTGTTGATTTCTTTTATTTTCTTATATTGTCCCTTCTTCTCTTCTCTTCCAACTCTGCTTAATATTTTCTCCTTATTTTATCAATTATCTAATTTCTACCCTTGATGGCAATCAACAATCTACATATCTTAAACTTTATTTCTTTTGTTAGTAGATTAGTAATATACATGTAAATATTTGTTTTAATTTTATATCATTCACATAGGATTATTTATTTATTACATTTGTAAGGAAGGCTGGGCAAAGGAAGATAGACACTTTTGAACTGTGGTGTTGGAGGGAAATTCTGAGAGTGTCTTGGATGGTAAAATGATCAAATCAGTCCATACTCCAGGAAATAATGTCCTATGGTCCAGCTCTCATATCCATAGGTTGCTACAGGGAATACCATTGCTTCGACTATGCGGATCTTTGTTGCCAGTGTGATGTCTCTACTCTTCACTATTTTATCGAGATTGGTCATTGCTCTCCTCCCAAGAAGTAAGCATCTTCTGATTTCTGGCAGCAGTCTGCATCTGCAGTGATCTTTGCATCTAGAAATATAAAGTCTGTCACTGCCTCCATGTTTTCTCCCTCTATTTGCCAGTTAACAATCAGTCTGGTTGCCATAATCTTGGTTTTTTTTTATGTTTAACTGCAACTCAGCTTTTACACTTTCTTCTTTCACCTTGATTATAAGACTCCTCAGCTCCTCCTCGCTTCCAGCCATCAAAGTGGTATCATCTGCATATCTAAGGTTGTTAATGTTTCTTCTAGCATTTTTTGCCTTTCATTCATCAAGCCCCACACATTGCATGATGTGTTCTGCATACAAGTTGAATAGGTTGGGTGAGAACCCTGCCGTATGCCTTTCCCAATCTTGAACCAGTCTGTTGTTCCATGGTCAATTCTTACTGTTGCTACTTGGTCCTTATACAGATTCCTCAGGAGAGAGACAAGGTGATTTGGTATGCCCATACCACCAAGAACTTGCCACAATTTATTATGATCCACAAAGTCAAAGGCTTTAGACTAGTCAATAAAACAGAAATTGATGTTTTCCTGAAACTCCCTGCCTTTCTCCATTATCTAGTAGATATTGGCAATTTAGTCTCTCAAATACATTTTGCATTCTCCCCAATACATTTTACAAATAATAATATTCCTCATCAACCTTTAACCATAAAGGGATGCCCATTTTTTTAAAAAAAATACAATTTGAAACTTAAAAGCAACTTAAAGTTTTGAAAGAGTATCAGTACAAAGCAAATGAGGAAGAGACATAAAGTATTTTTTTCAAATTTAAGAATGGAGTTAGTATGCTGAAAATGACAGCTTTGTGACTATACACCAGGCAGAACATTAGCTGCAAAGGCGCTCCAGGCAACCCAGAGAAATAAAATAGTTACATTACCATCAAACCCCCTTTGGAAAGAAAATAATTGCACACTTCAACAATGAAACTTCAATTATTTGAACAATGAAAGGGTACGGGAAGGATTTTCTTGTAGCAGAGTTTTTCTTTCTTCTTTTCTTCTTTTTTTTTTTTTGGGGGGGGGGGGGGGGAGAATCCTTCTTTGTCCAGGGTCTGTATTTTTAAAATTAGTAATGCTAACTATTACTGCTAACACTACAATAAGAATCATGCAGATTTTATGATGCAGGAAGTTATTTAGAATAACAATGCATATTCACATATAAGAACCAAAGAAAGAAATATCAAGTATAGAAGATATAAAGAACAGAAAATGTGACTACAATTCATTAGATCCAATTGTAGACTTCTCAGCAAACACTGAGATTGGCACAGAGTATGGCACAGAAATTTCATTTGGATTGCAGTAAACTGCCCGACCTTTCAAGGCAAAGATCAGGGTACTTGTGGATCATGTTAATGGCTTAGTGAAGTTTTTGAAAAAGGCCCACTGGGGATTCTCTCAGCGTTGAAAGTCTGCCAAAAGCAGCCAGGAAATGGGAAGACATCTATACCTTCCTGAGTCCTGCCAGCTGCCCCAAGTTCAAGTGTTTCACATCACTGAGAGAAAACCCAGGGCATTTTCTTCTGGCTACAGAAAGGTATCATCTGGGAGTTGGAAAGAAAACAGAAATTATTTCCCAGATTGTATGTTAATCTCTGCTGCAGAAGATTAAGTTTTCTGAGGCCTAATAATAATCTTTAAGTTAAGTATTATAAACTCTTGAACCTTGTATCCAAGCCAAAGTCCATATTCTCCAGTATCTGTCATACTATTTTATAAAATGTTAACAAAGTACTCTCATGGTTACTCTGCATTAAACACCTTATGTTTGTGAAAACTTTGGGTAATACATTCTTTTGTTTCTATTTATATGAAAACATTTCAAGTAATTTGAATTACCCAGTTGTTTTTATAAGGATTATATGAGGTCATGGATGGGTTCAACACAGGAGATTCATCTGTCAAGGTTTTATATCAAGCTTTTCAAGTTAATATTCCTTGGTTACGTTGTGACTAGCACTAACACAGTTTCAAACTAGCTAGGTGGGTTTTCCTGCCTTGCTTCACATCAGCTGAGATTTAATGTCACCTGGGGAAGATCTACACTGGCCCTTCCACACAGCTCTATATTCCAGAATATTAAGAATATTAAGGCAAAAAATCCCACATTATCTGAATGTGGACTCAGGGCCCGTACAGACAGTAGCTTTATTGTGAGAACTCCCGCAATAAATGAGCGGCTGTCCAGGCAACATTCTGCGCCTTCTTGGAAGGCATGGGATAAATCCACTATTTCCGGTTCTGGACCGCAGAATACTAAATAAACCCAGTAAACTGTGGGAAAACCCACCCCTCCAACCCCTTAGAAAAGTAAAATAAACTTACTCGACCTCCAGTGCACTCTTGTAGCAGCTCTCCTAGCGCATAGAAATGACACGCCAGAAGAGTGGGGGTAGAAGAAGAGGAAAATCGCTCGTCCCGCTCTCCCGGCGCATTATTTCTACGTGCCAGGAGAGCTGCTACGAGAGTGCACTAGAGGCTGGGTAAATTCATTTTACTTTTCTAAGAGGTCTGGGGGCTTTGGGGAAGGAGGGTAGAGCCTCCAGATGTTCCCGTGAGAGCATCTGGGCACTCACCCCTGAAAGCATGCATTTTCTGGGGTGGGTGAGGACAAGATGGGTCCACAGCAGACAAGACCAACAGGTCGCAGGTTCGAATCCGGGGAGAGGCGGATGAGCTCCCTCTATCAGCTCCAGCTCCTCATGCGGGAACACGAGAGAAGCCTCCCACAAGGATGATAAAACATCAAAATCATCCGGGTGTCCCCTGGGCAACGTCCTTGCAGACGGCCAATTCTCTCACAACAGGATGCTCCTGACACAACAACAACAAAAAAAAGCAGACAAGATCACTCTTCTGGCTGTTGTATTGGTTCACAAGTCAGACACTTCCCAATGTGTGATGTATCGGCGAATAATGTGTGTGATGATGATGATGATGATGATGATGATGATGATGATGATGATTATTACCTGCCTCGCCTCACATGTAAGAAAAACTCAATAAAATGCATCCTTTGCAATATGAAATAGCTATGACACAAATTATACCTGAAATTAATTTGGAATGCAGAAAACATTGACAGAAAATCCCATAGTCAATTAATATTTAACGAAGTAATTGGTATAAATTTATAGTAGCTTTAAGCCTTAAAAATGTATTAATATTGCAAATGTTTATATACTGGGCTAGTTTTATCCGCAAAAACTGTGGGTGGATTACAGATTATAAAAATAGAAAAATTTCCTTATAATAATATGCAAAGATTTATAGTAACTTAATGCTCAGCTAAATTTTGGGAGTAAGTTACACTGACCAAAAAAAGAAATCACAATGCAACTTGAATTCAAGATCAAGTTGCATCAAGTTTGGCAGGATGGGTAGAAGGAAACAGTCATGTGCCCACTAGGGCACTGATAATAGTGTTTCCCTCCCACTGGAGCCAATTCAGAGAGCAGCCAAAATTCTCCCAACAAACGCATCATCACTT